ACACACATACACACACATCATGCACATGCATACATACACAATCTACATCACACTCAAGTCCTCACCTTTCCCACACCACACAGCAGTGCTCAGCATACGCAGTACACTTGTACACACACCAGCAAGCCTCTCAACCCATGGATGGGAAGCAGGTGGAGGCAGAAGTCAGGACCTGAACCTGCTCTTGTGTAGCTCTCTGTTCTGAGCCGTGAAATGGGGAAGAAGGGGCCAGGCAGTCTTTAAGGCACTTCCTGCATTTCAATGTCTGTGGTGGGAGTTATAGTTTCCCTCCTTCCTCTTTACACAGGAGTTTCAAAGCATCCATAGTTGGGGAGAAGGGACAGCTGGGGACTTGAGTGCCTGGGATCTTAGCATGCTACCCTCGAGTATGGATCCTAGAGATCCCAGACAGAATAGAGACCTGAGCCCTGGTAGCCACTAAAATGAAAGGACCCCCTTGGGCTACCGATTCTATTATGGAAATGTTGGATCCTTCCTGTTTCTCCTCTCTGCCCTCTGGGAAGACACTGCTTCCTAAGTTCCCTGCTGCTGCATAGGTATGTAGATCTGAGATCACCATGTTTTGATTGGTGCAATGGGGCTGTTGACCACAATGCTTCCACTGAGATGACCAGGACATGCAGCCCACGGCTTCTCTCCTCCCTTGGGCATGCCTCCTCATTCTCACTCAGTACCTGAATTTAAATGCTTGTTCAGAAACCAACATGTATTTCAATATGTAGACAGGAACCCAGAGTTCCGCCTGCCCAGGGTGCGTTCCCCAAGGCAGGTGGCGTAAGGTGAGAACTCCACCCCTCCTCTGTTCCAGGATCCTTGCTCCCACCTCAAGCCAGCCTGCCCACCCCAGCTCCAGAACTTCCCTAGAACACTTGCCTGCATGGAATCTTATAGGCTGGGTCTTCTGGTCTTTTCCTAGATGCCAAGAAGACAGAAGATGGTGAAGCCACCACAGAGCCCGAGCCAGCGAAACCGGAAGGGGTGGTGGTTAACGGGAAGGAGGAGGAGCCGAGTGCGGAAGAGGTCCTCAGCAAAGGACTGGGCCAGATGACCACCAACGCTGACACTGATGGTGACAGCCAGAAGGACAAAACCGAGTCAGTTACGAGCGGCCCCTTGTCCCCAGAGGGCTCGCCCTCCAAGTCACCCTCCAAAAAGAAAAAGAAATTCCGAACCCCCTCCTTCCTGAAGAAGAGCAAGAAGAAGGAGAAGGTGGAATCCTGATCAGTGGCTCCTGCTGCATCCCTGCCCTCCTTCCCTGCCCTTCTCCCAACTCTGCCCCTGGAGCCCAGGGCCAGTGAGGGATAGAGAAGGACCTGGGATCACACTCAGAGGGGAGCTTAGAGGCAGCCTTCCCAGAGCGGCCAGGTGTCCTGCCCACAGTCACAGTTAGTTGGTGGCGGAGCCCACCCTAGATTTGAGCTTCCTGACTCCCACGGTCATGCTCTGTCCTCTGTTCAACACTGCCTAGTCCTGGGCTGCCTCTGTTAGGACACCACCTGCCAGCCTGAGCCCAGGGCAGGAAGGCCAAGCACCGGGCATGGTCACGGATGCTCATAGGCCAAGGCTTCCCCTGAGTAAGGTCCATCTCTTCCCAGGAATCCTGCCTCTTGCTGATGGAACTGTCTCCACAGCAAGAAGCCATACTTCTCTCTTCCATTTTGGGTCCCTTCCCCTGCTCAAAGTAACCAGGCAAACTGACCTGCTTCCCCTCCCCACAACAGAAGTTAATCTCTGATCCCCAGGCTGATGGCTTAGCTTGTACTTTTCCAAACACTAATCCTGAGCTTTTGACATGGAACCCATTGAGTGATGGATGGAAGAACCTAAGAACAGACAGAGAGAGGGCAAGCCAAGTCAGCTTAATGAGTGGACAGGGGGCCATCCATCTAAGAGCCTAGGCTCCTGGCCTGTCTGTATTGTACATCTCACAGGCTACAAAATTCAACCTAACTGTAGCATAAGAAAAAGTCCCATGCTCAGGGCAGGAAGTCGAGGACATCTAAATCTTGTGCTGGTGTTAAGTTATGTGAAGGGGTCAAATGCCACTTTGGCTTTGCATGGTTTGCAGAGCGGCACCTGCCTCGATCTTGCCTTGCAGCCAGGTGTCCTTTGGCCCTCCCTCATGCCCAGGAGCCCCTGCCCATAGACCAGAGCATCTTACTCTTGGCACCTTGACCTTGGCTCTTTGGGTCCCAACTCTGAATTACCGGAGGTCCAGCAAAGGACAGAAATGAGTCTTTCTTGGTTAATTCTCTCTCACCAGCTTTCAGAGACACGCCTGGCATTCCTAACACTCTCTTGCATCCCTGGCTTGGTGATAGGCACAGCTGTAACATTAAGTGCCAACACCATTTTTCCATATCCTCCCAAGGAGTAGTGTTGGCTAATGAGCATTTCTGGCTCCAAGACAATCCATCTTCCTTAAAGCACAGCGTCTTCAAAGAGCATTTCTCTTTTTGTTCTGATTATTGTAAAGGTATTTTTGAAATTTCTTGACTCATTTTTCACTTTGCACACTTGCTGTCTATAGACACCATACAGGCTTTACCTTCTGCCCTCTCAATACCCCATTCCTCCCTTTTCGTGGTAAGGAAACTGAACCCCATCGGGGTAATTGACTTGCTGAGCAAGATCTGAAGGCTGGATTTGAACCCAGGTCAATCTGAGCCAAGCTCTTCCCAATTGTGGTGAATGGACAGAGGCTTTGGCCCATTAGCCATTTCTGCAACTGGTCTTGGCTGTGTGGCGTCAGCACTTGCCATGATGTTAGAGAGATCACCTGTTGTTGCCCTAAGTGATTCAGTCAGCTGCTGGTGATTGGGTGGTGGTGAGATCTCTGCCCCCTGACAACAGAGAGCTGAACCCTCTGGCTGCAGCAGGAAATCCCACCACACTTGGCTGGCTGTCTCTTAAGCAGATCTGAGAACCCAGGGCTGATTTGTGGCTGCTGCCCAGGCCCCATTTTCGTTCTGCTTACTGGTTGGGTCAAGTCTAATGACAGACAACCCAATGCCCCTGTGTGTGAATGCTCAGAATTCTGTCTTCCTGCAGGAACTGCCTTCTTAGGAATAAGATCGCACATTTATTCATTCATTTTTCCCTGAATGTTCATTAACTATCCACTTGTATCAGACACTTAAAAGAAAGATAAGAGGTGTCAACCTCGAAGAGGCAGCATTTATGAGCTGGTGCTCAGGATGAAGTCCATTGTCTCTGCCCAACATGCTCCCTTTATTACCTTTATGACAGCGAGGCTTGCTTAGGGTAAAATGTCAGAGCTTTGCTGGAGTGTTACCGTTGGGGTCAAAGCCATGAGTTCAGCTCATAGTCACCCATCTGCTGATTCCTTGTATGTTCAGGAAACACTCATCTGTGAGCATGTGCGATATGTAGACAAGATACAGAGCAGGCAGGGCACACAGGTGGGCCAGGGCAGCAATGACTGACCATCCAGTCTTCTGGGGGTGGGCACAGGGAAGCCTTCCAGAAAATTGATGGCTGAATTGGGTTTTAAAAACAGAAACTTGGGAAAAACAAGTCAGCAGAAGTGGACAGATGTGAGAGCATAGGACTCCACACTCTGTCCTTCTGGGTCACATGGAACTGTCAGAGCATTATGAGAAACGTGAAAGAAGTGGTTTACATCCCAGGTAGGCAGGGCTGAGTCATAAGAAGACTTGTAGACAGTGTGCAAGACCTGGATTTTACCATGTCCCGGACACTGAGGGCTGTTAATTAGGGTAGAATCATAAATAGAAGGGTGTTGTCGAGTCCCTTTGGTGACCCAATGGGGAGTGTGTGGGTAAGGCTGCCGACTGATCTCCTGCTGTATTCTCCCCCACTGCACCAGTTTCTAGCTTAGAATTCCTCTCGTGGAATTTTTGGGATTAAAAACATCTGAAGATTTCAACGAGCTAATAATGCTGGGTTCACAGCTCAGGCCCTATTTTGATTTGGGATGAGATCATGGGAGTATAAAGACATTTCATCTATTTCCTTCTTCCCTTGTACATAAAGGATGCGCCGTGCACAGCCCTGAGGACTGTAGAAACGGCTGTGCAGCCCAGACACAGCATTTCTTTGGCTCTGTGTAAAAGTTGTTTCAAGGTTCAGCTGATGGGGAGGGGTGTGTAAGCTCAGAGTTTACTGGTCACCAGCTTGTTTCTCACTGAGCCACTGCAATTGCCACTGAGAAGGGTATTGGTGCTACTGTGTGACCAGCTGATTGGAAAATGAAGCGGCTTCTTGACCTGTCTCCCCATCCAGCTGTACAGTAGGGCAGAGGCCATCCTGGCTCCCGTGATGTCACATGCTTGGAGCAGTTGTGATCTGTGAGGGCTACCCGTTTTGTGTGATCACCGCCCCAACTGCACTCCAGCCTGGGTCTGGCCTCTCTTCATCCGACCCAAGGCCTGGTCCCCCTTAAACCATTGGAAGAGCCAGATGCCGCTTGGTAATGAGTATCAAGTCCTTGCTCTGTGGACAGAGGATGTGAGGGACATGGATGAGGGCCACAAGTCTCTCACAAACCCACCGTAAGGCACTGCTCTGAGCACCCAATCATGGAGACCATGCCTGAACCTAGCCCCTGTGGGATGGCAGCGTGGCCACAGGGCCACTGCTCTTGTTAATGTGAGCAGAAACGCTAAAATGTGTCTGAAGGAACCATGGGCCCCTGAGTATAAAAGTTTAGAGCTACATTTGGACTTCTCGGGAATGTTTGCTTAGGGACAGGACACGGCCCTCTGGAGGCCACTGTGCCAGGCCTTTTCATAGGTGTGAGTTTTATGTCTTAGTTCTAAACCAAATGTAATGAGTTCTTGACAGCCAAACAGGACTATTGAAGCATTCACCCCTTGCTCATTTTATACATGTGGTCCCACAAATACCCCAGGCTCTTGGCATAGTTACCACCCACTGTGGCCAGAGAGGCCATGAGGCTTCTTACAGCATTTCTTATCACTAAGCCCAACTGAACTCTCTATGACCCCCATATAATTCAGAAAACCTGAGAGCTGAGTGAAATGCCAGTTATCTGCTCTCTATTCCCATGGATGGGATAGGGTACCTCACAGCTTAACAGGCCATCATGCCTGCTCCGCAGGTGATTTAATATGAAAAGGAGGGGTCCAGAAGCAACTGAAATTCTCGAAACATGTCCACTTGTTTTCTGTGTGCACACCCTCTTTCTCCAATGTGAGGAGGCTCCCACAGTGCTGTGACTACTTCCCAGGACCCTATCTAATCAGGATGAGGTGTTCTTCCTGTCAGAAATGAGAGGTCACATATAGAGCCCAGTTCCCAAGGCTCCTGACTCCCTTCTGTCCCTTACTGAGGAAGCCACCTTGTGCAGAAGTCTGTGGGGATCTCACACAGTGGGGTGTCCTTCAGTGGACAAAGGGTCATCTTTGCACTGGCAGTGCCCTGGTAGGCTTCTTCCCACAGGGACAAGACTCAGTATTTGGGTGTCCCTAGAAAGTATGGAAGTCATGTCCTGCCTCGTTCACATAGGGGTTGCATTAGGTTTTTGCCAAGCTGACTTTTGTGCCAGTGGTCTTCAAGATTCTCCTACAAATTGGGTCATCACTTTGAGAACTTAGGGCCAGAGATAGAGGGGGTTCATGATGCCGGGGGGGGGGGCTCAAGTGCAGGCTAGCCTGGGAAGGCAGAGTCTTCCATGGGAGTCAGGTCTTCAGCCCCTTCCTCACCCTTTCTGTCCCATGCACCTGGGTAAGGCTGGACCCTGAAGATCCTTCCCATGTCTCTTGGGTAGAGATGACATCACCAAAACTCAAGGAATCTTGGGAAGGACCTAAACTCTTCTCCCCTTCAGCAAACCAGCCTGTGGTTTAATTCTCCCCTTTAACATGAACCAGGGTGGCAGCTGGACCTAAGCCAGGGGGTCTCACTTGGGAAACACCACAGACCCTTGTATGATGGCAATAAGTTTGGGGAAGCCCCAGACCCTCATTTCAATGCCACCTTGTGCCTGTGGGTCTTACTGTGTTGGTGACTCATACCACAAGATTGCCCTGTCTGTAAATTCCTTAAACTGCTAAAGGTGATGAGAGGTTAGGCAGAGTGGGAGAGGCAGGCACCACGGGGTGCAGGGTCACGGGAACCCAGGCTGGCCAGGGAGTGCAGTGTCTTCGTAAGTAATGCTGTGGGTGGTGTTGGTGAAATGTCTGTCGGACAATCGTCACATGAGAGTACGACTTCCTGTCTTCCCTTGTACATAGGCTGTCTGTGTTTGGCTTTTCCTAGTACTGTGAGGTTTTGAAGAGGGATTCCATGTAATACTCTGTGCTGTGACATGCCACCCTCCCCCGAGATCACACATCTTCCCCACAAACGGTTCTGCCTTTCTGTATGCTAACACATTGAGCCACTGACGTGCAGCTGGATGGCTAGGCTCTGGGGTTTTATTTTGCAATTTTATATATATATATACATATATAATATATATATTTATGGGTTGGTTTTATATGGTTTTCTGTTTGAATCTATGAGCAACAAAGCTCCCCTTTGATTTTCATGAGAACTTTCCAAAGGCCTTTTTCTGCTTTGGTATCTGACTGTGTTTGGGGTGGACTCTGCCCGTGGGTTTCTCCGTGTGTGCTGTTATTTCACCTACAGATCTTACCCTAGTAAACCAGATGTGCTTGGCTTCCCAATGTGTGTGACCCATCTCTGTCGGTTACCTGGGGCTCCTGGAGGAGGAAGTCAGAAAGGGGTCCACGTGTGGACGTGTGGGTCACGCAGAGAACTTGAACCTTTTCCACACGTAGAAAGCTGAACACAGGATTGCCATTGAGTTCTGATGTGGGAGGAGGCACTGGGTGGGGCTGGCACAGCGGCAGCAGATAGGACGGGACATACTGAGATGGATCACCCTGCAGATCAGCTCGCCCTGCGCCTGCAGGTGTGGAGGCCAGAGTGGAGGCAGATGTCAGAGCAGCAGCAGAGGCTTAGGGAGAGAGAAGTCACTCCAGAAGAGGGGAGGATGCGGGCCTGGGGAGGAGGGTGAAGGAGGAAAAGCTCCTCTCCTACCTCTGTACCAAAAAAATACACAAGAGGAACTGGGGAAATGACTCAGTTGGTAAAGTGTTCGCCATACAAGAACAAGGTCCCGAGTTCAATTCCCAGCGCTTACATTAAAAAAGATGGGTATGGTTGGCTGTGCCTGTAACCCTAGCATTAGGAAGATGGAGACAGATTTCTGGGGCTCACTGGCCAGCCAGTCTAACTGAATCAGTGAGCTCCAGGTTCAGTGAGAGGCAATGTTTCAAAAAGAAGGTAAGTGATTGAAGGAATATGCCTGATGTCAACCTCCAAACTACACACACACACACACACACACACACACACACACGCACGCACGCACGCACGCACGCACGCACGCACGCACGCCATACCACACCAGAGGAGGGTGGGGAACAACTAGCCCTTATTGAGCTTCCACACTCATAGGCCAGGTACTACCTGAGCATATTGGGAGAGCCTCTAGTCTCAGCCCTGTAAGCCTGAGGCTTATTCTACAGCTACTTACTCTACAGAGGAGGCCACGAGCTCTGAACAAGGGGATTTGCGAGGCCTCACGTTCACACCTGGTGAAGCCCAGATGCAAACAGAAGCCTTGCTATTCCCACTGTATCCATGGTCCCAGGACCCCGAGCCATGCTGTACAGAAGATGCTCCAGGCAGGTCTATCCCACACTCAGCATCCACACCAGAGTCCCATCTTCCTCTGTTCCCATCTGGGTATCCTGAAGCTCCCCTCCACCGGCTCCTATGGACCT